TAAATATATTATTAATCGGTTGGGGTACTATCCTTAAATAAGTCGGCCTAAATAATTAGCGCTATCTATATAAATTTAAGAGCGGAATTTAATTAAACGCTGAGAAAAGATATAACGCTACTAAACGAAAGCTTTAGGGACTACTTTATATCTTGAAACAATTAAAGTAATATCTCTTTAGTATTTACTTCGTAATTAAAACCGAGACTTAAATTATAGTATATTAACTAAAAGGTATAGTATCTAATATCCTTAGAGTAATAATTATGCGCTAAATTACCTAAATTTGTTTATTTAACTTTAAAATTAGATATATCCCCGGTAAAAAGAATATAGTTGCTAATAGCCTTTTTCGTATACCTCCTTCTACTAAAGATTAGCGGGATAAGGACAACGAAGAAGATATCAATGACTACGTAGACAAACAAATCTATATAATTAGGTTTAACGATACTCTAAATAAAGGGAAGAAGGAATGGGAATAATGGAGGAAGGCGCTAATTATATATATATATATGTAATGATGAGTCTGCTCAGGGGGCCTATTATAGATTCAAAGGGAAGATTTGATTTGGGGATAGTATTTAGGGATATATATATTAGTTTTCTACAGTGATTTTTTTCAAATTTTTAGCAAGGTATATAGATTAGAAATGCACTTACTAGATTGAATGGATTTGAATAATTAATATTAATGAAAGATGGAATATAAAGGATTGGTTTAATAAGATAATAGATTAAAAAAGATAGAAAAGTAGGGATAGCAAAAGAAGGAGAGTAGAAGGAATAGGGAATAAGACATCCAATAATAAAAAAATAAAATAAGGAATCATTACAATATCTATTATATTAAATTATTAATTTAATTATATATTCTCAATTTATAAAAACGATCTTTAATAATCTCTAATTATCCGTCTTTATTTGCTTAGAGTATTGAATAATCTTTTATCCCTCTTAGGGGAATTTTTACTCGTTTCTCTATCTACCTGAAAGAAAGAAATACCGAAAGATCCGATAACTACCTTCGTTTATTAATAAAGACTAAACATTAAACTATTCGATAAATGCAGGACTTTAATAAGCCTTATTTAGTTTAGTGCCTCCTATTTCGACTACCTGAAAGGTTTAAAAATTACCCCCTACTCTACCTAATTAGATAGTTAAGAGCTACGGTTCTTACGCGTTGTATTGGTTGTAGTAGTGTTGTTGTTGTTGTTGTTGTTGTTGTAGTTTTCTTACCATTTTAATAAATATACGTAATTGTACGAAGGAAAAAGGAAGAGAAGTATATAGCCGAATACTTAGAAGGTTAGCCTTATAAGGGCGACCGCCGATGGGTCTATAGACTTATAGTAGGTAGCGTTCTAATTAATTAATTACTGGCAATAATAGTAGCCGGTAATAATAATAGCGTACAGTAGTCTTAAAAGCTACTATACGCTAGCACTAGGTATAAAGCACACAGGCTAACCCTATAACACTACCGACTATACGATAAAGCCTATTATATTAAAGACGATAGATCCCCCGCCCTACAATCCTCAAATAATAATAATCGTAGCGATTAGGAAAGAGAAAACTCCGTATGTATAGTATTAAAAACCGCTTTAACGTATTATAAATACTATAAGTTATTCGACTCCAATCTCGCTACCTACTGGCACGTTCGTATATATAAGCCGCACCCCGCCGCTAGGGCGGAAAGTATTAATATTAAAGTTAATAAATTATATTACCAGACTTATAAATACTATTATAGGGTCTTCTAATTAAAGAATAGACTATTTTAATACTTAAAGATATATTTAATAGCCGACAAAGGTAAGATTAACGGCCTAGCTACAGACTCTAACAATATTTAAATAAATACCTTACTAGAAATAGTCCTCCTTCTAAAATAACCCTAAATTAATAACCCTAAGGCAGACCCTAATAATACGTAGTATATTATTATAAAATTCTAAATAAAGGAGGCCCTAGTAGAAATTACGAAGGAATTCGATAAAAACCCCTTATTTAGCTTTACGTACATAAGAATCCTAGCTAAAGCGAAACCTAAGCTAAATTCCCCTCTAATTAAAATTTATATAAATAATAGCGTAGGAAGAATAATAATCGGTTGATACTTCCTAAATTAACTAGAGTATATACTAGAACCCTACGCCAATTGTATTTCGGGTATTAGGAATAAGTTAAAAGAACTTATAAATTAGGCAACGTTTACCTTCTACCTTCCAGGATTCGATAACTATAGGCGGCCAATAATAATAAGATTTATTAAATTAAAATAGGTATTTAAGAACCTTTAGCCTAACCTATTATTGAATAATAATTTTAATTTCCTATACGAAGTAGCAATCGACAATGTAATAAAGCGTATAACGTTCTAATTACTAAACAACTTTAATATTAACTTCAATTACTTTACTAAAATTAAACTTTATAAACGACGTATTACTACAATACAGAAGGTAGTCCTATTGCGAGGATAGGAGACATTCCTACTAATAGAATATACGCCCCTTCCTAAGGACCGCAACTTTAATTTTATTACCAAATACAACGCGGTAATATATATAATAGTTAATACAATTAGTCCCAAAGTAATTAAGCTAATAAATATATTAGATGGCCTATTAGTAGTTGAAAAGTACTCTAAAGTAGGCGAGATAGCCGAAATATAAGACTATAGTTACTTTATAATAACTTAAATAAAAGCTATAAAGGCTATAACTATCGGCGCAACTATTACTACCCTAGGAGGAATAATTGGAGTCTAAGCTACTATCGCTGCCAATTTAATAGCAATTGACCCAATACTTATAAAAATTCTATCGGCCGTTACAATTATCCTAAATACTGCCTTTAAACTTTATAGTATAATCCGAACAATTACTAACGGTACTACGAATAATAATAAAGCTGGGTAAAATAATAGGAAGGTTAAAGCTAGAACGGACGTTGCAAATATCCTAATTAAGCCCCCACTAATAATAGAAGGTATTCCTCTTATTAATAACGTTTTTAATATAATCTAAAACTCTAAAAACATCTTCAACGTACCCGTACAACCTCAAGCCCAATTACCCGACCTAATACTTAATTTTAATACTGCTCTTAATAGCGCGGAATATTATACAAAACCCCGAATTCTAAAAAAGTAATTAACGTTAGGAATTCGAATACCGACTAATATACTAGAGATCATTACAAATAAAGGAGTTTATATATACGCTAAGGACCCTATTATAGTAAATAAATTAAAAGCCCTTATTAAACAATTCTTTAAACTATAGTAAAATAACGAATTAATTAAGTAACCACCGGAGGACCTAATAAGAGTACCCCTCGTAGAAGGATAGTAAAATTAGCGGGTAGCCTTATAGTTATACCCCCTTAGCTGAAAAAATAGGGAAATTTTAAATGAAGTTTTTAATAAACTTTATAAGAAAGGTAAAATAGAATAAGTAATACAAATAACTCCCTTCGCCCACCCCGTTTTCGTAGTCTAACGAACAGTCTACAGTAAGCCGAAAGTATAGGTAGTAATAGATTTAAGGAATTTTAACCGAATATTAATCCCTAATAATTACTTACTATTATTATAAATAGAGGTAATTGCTATACTACGAGGGAAAGTCTAAATTACAATAATTAACGCTATAGTATTCTTTTACTAATTTGGTATATAGCCGCTATATAGAAATAAATTTATACTAATAAGCCTAAAAGGTTTCGAAAGACCGACCGTAATACTAATAGGCTATAAAAATACGCTAGCCTATATACAATAGTATATAGACCGGCTTCTCGCCCCTTTTACTATATTCTATTGTACCTTTATCGATAATATTATAATTTTCTCGGATATAGTTAAGGATTACTTATACTACCTTAAAGAGATTTTCCAACTCTTTATAGATAGAAATATTAATTTTTTACCTAAAAAATCTTAAATTGGCTATCCAAACGTAGAATTATTAAAGTTCAGAATAGACGTATTAGGATTATTAAATACAATAGACCGCCTATAAATATTTAAACAATTGCAATTTCCTAAGTAATTAAGAATACTAGAATAATATATTAGAAGTAGTAGCTTTATTAGACATTTAATCCCCTATTACGCCTAAATTTTTAAACTATTATAAAAGCGTAAAATCGCACTCCTAATAAAAGGACGAAAATCCGGACAAATTGAAGCTAGTAAATTAGCGAAAAGGATTAATTATTACTAAAAGACTTTTTACGAGCCTATAGAGGATAAAGTCCGATTATTCGAATTATTATAAGAAATTATTTACAAAGATAACCCTACTATTCTATTCTATTACAACCCTAATAAATAATTCTTCTTACAAATCGACGGCTCTCTTAAACGAAAGTTCGGTATTATAGTTTTCTATATAAAGGATAGATTTATTTAGGAACTAGGATTACCGATCCTAATTAACTAAATATTCCTAATTATATTCTTAAGTAAATACTCAATTAATGCTAAATTCCGCTACGGACTATCCGAATTAGAGGTCGCCTGCCTAGTATAGGCCGTTAAACGCCTAAGAACTATACTATATTCTTCGAATTTACCAGTAATAGTCCTAACCGACTATTTAATTATAAAAGGAATTATTAAATAAACCTTACTTAACACTTCCTCGACAAATAGGGCAAATTGAAGACTAATAAACGCCTCTATTTACTTATTGCAATACGATTTGAAAGTATATTACCTACTAGGTAAATTCAATTATATTTTAAATATACTTTTAAAGCTTAAAACGAAAGGGGATATAAAATAACGATATAAAGGGGAACTGGTACTAAATAATATATAATTAACTATAGAAACTCTACCGGCTAACGACGCGTACTTAACCTTCTTTAAAACCTATATAGATAACGAATTAAAAGCCCGCTTTAGAATAGAATTAAATAACAATAAGAAGTTTAAACTTATTATTAACGACCTAGAAAAGTAAGAGCTAAACTATACCGAGGACGGTAAGGAATGCTTCGTTCGGCGGGGAGTACCTTTCGTTCTTTATAATAAACTATTATATAATATTTACCCCAATAGAATAAGAAGCTTATATATACCTAAACAAATAGTTAAAAACATACTTGAAATAACTTATAATAATAAGTATTACTTCGGACGAAATAGAATACTATATAATTTAAGAAATGTAATAATATTTAATAAAATAAGGCTAGTAAGAAAGTATGTAGAGTACTATCTAGCGTACACACTCAATTAGATAAGTTAAACCCAGCCGAACGGGGAATACTAACATATTAGGCTAAAAAAAGAGGATTACCTACCTATAAGGATAATCGCCCTAAATTTTATTATCGGATTACCTACGACTAAGGCCTACACACTATAGGCCCTACGAAAATATTTAGAATTCAATTATCTTATACCCGTATCCAATAAAATAATTAAGAGGACCTTCCTCTTATTAGGATATTCGATATATATAGTAGAAAATTAGGGAAAGGTATTAATATACTTTTTAATACTATATAATTAGGGTATACTATACGGTATTATATTGGACTACGATAGGAAATTTACATTAAGCCTTTAGAAGAGTATATAGTAGACCTTAGGAATAAAGCTTTTAATAAGTACCGTATATTACCCGTAAATAGACGGAATAGCTAAAAGAAAAAACTAAATAGTAGAGGTAATTATACGCTTTTATTACTTTAATAATTTAGATTCCCTATAGATAAACCTCCTACTAACTCTATAATAGAACTTTAATAATATTTATACCGACCCAACCAAATACTCCCTTTACGAACTACTATTTGGCTTTAAACTTCCCGGACTATTAAACTTCCTAACTAATATTCCAAAGTCTAACATTAACCTACCCGTACTATAAGAATATATAAGATAAAATGCTTAACTAACTATAAACTTTACTACTAACGAAATTAAAAAATAATATAATGCCCGCTATTGACCCTTCGAATTTAAACTAAGAGATATAATACTATTAAGGCTACATTACAGCTATTATCTCCCGGGCCGACCCCCCAAAAAATATTTATAATAATAAACCGGGCTATTTAAGATCCTAGAACGCGTCGGCCGTTTAGCATACTACTTAGACCTACTTTCAACTATAAATATTCATCCCGTAGTCTCAATTGCGCATTTAGCCCCCGCGCCATCCAACAACCTATTTAACCGCACCGCTCCCCCGCCCGGACCAATAGAAGACTCCCAACCTTCTAGCTTCGAGGAAGGCAAGTTCTACGAAGTAGAGCGTATTGTCTTATACGAATTCAATAAGGTAGGAAACGGCTTTAAATATTAAATTAGGTAAAAAGGTTATAGCGCGTACTATAATAAATAGCGAAGCGAATAGTAACTATATAAATTAAAGGAACTAATTAAAGAGTACTAGTAACGGTAGGGAGGACGGCCGCAACTAATAGAAATACTAGAAAAGTAAGTACGGAGGAAGAAATAAGGCTAGATTGAGATACTAAAGGATTTGAACTAGTAATAATTATTAAGGATAGTAAGGGATTTTTCCTATACTCCGGTATTTAATACCGGATTAGCTAGATCTATAATATTAGATAATATTGCTATAACTCTAGCCTATAGTAAGCATCCTACTTACTGGGCTAGTACTTGCGGTACGAGCATACCGCCTGATAGGGCCGCGTATACTAGTAGCGGGTTGCTAACCTACTTTAGATTAGATAAGGAAGCGATATACGATTAAGTATATTAACCCAACCGCTAGTATAAGCCTTCGGCTATACCCTCTTTCTTTAATATTATACTTTATTCAATTATAATATTTATACATACTCCTAGAGTGCGCTATTATTTATATAATAATAGCAATTATCTTCCATATTAAGCTCTATATTAAACCGAATTTGAAAGTATATTAGAAGGAGAAGCCTAATTACCCCTTACACCCCATTACAAAGTAAATACCATTCTTCAAATTCGAAATATTAACGCGCCGCTTTTACTATTAGGATTTTAACGGATACAATAGCCCGACAATTCTTTAAGAGAGAATATACACCTTCAATAAGCACGTTATAAAACTCTACTACGAAATTTATAAACCGTTTTAAAATATCGCCGTCGACGAGAAGGTAATATATTATACCGGCAGAAGTACAATTAAAATAACCATCCCTAGCAAGCCTACTAATATAAGGATTAAAATATAAATAATTACTTCTACCAATTACTTTTATTACTAATTATTTTATAATAATATAAAGAGAATTATCAATTTAATACACTATATAAATACTATATTAACCCTATACAAAATTGCTAGTAAATAATATTTACTAATATTTAATAAGCAAACCTTAGAGATATACAAACTCTCGTTACTTACCTTATTACTATACTCCCCCCTCCCCCTCCTTCGTCTATATATTATATTTTTTATAATAATCTCTTTATTACCGCGGCCCTTACTCGCTACCTTTAAACTTACAATACTATTATTACTAATATAATCCATAAGAATCGCATCCCTAAAGAGTTTACTAGCCTTAAAGAGATAAATAATACTAAAGAGAAAATCCTATATAAACGTATATATTAGAAGGTTAATAATAATATAGTATACTAATTAGTTAAAAACTATTAAATTATTAACTTCTTATTTATATAATTTAATCCCTATAGTATTAGTATAAATACTAAGGAAATTAAATAATAGTACTCGACTAAGAATGAGATAATAAGGGATATCTTTAATAATATAAGCATTATAGTTATTAAGGTTCTAAAGGTTATTTAGGTATACAATATATATATACATAGTATAGATATTAATAATTAATTGTATACTAATAATATATATAGGCATCGCTACCGAAGGGGCCTATAAATAGTATTATTCTATAACTTCTATCTTAAAGTTATTGTTACTAACATATTCTTAATCTAGCGGATTAAAAATTATAAAATCTTTTTTAAATCTATACCCAACACTCAACACCGAAATTTCCGTACACAGCTAATTAATAAACTTTGGTATACCTTCGGCGCCAAGGCTACTAACTAGCGTTTTTACAAAACAAAGGACTAGGATGCCAAATATTCTATTAAAAGGGATAATAGGGAGTACTACTAGGCGAAGGTTAGTAGGTTGCTACAATATAGAATATATATAAGTACTAAAGTTAAGAAGGCAACGAGTTACTAAATGGGGAAGAGAGGTAAAGCTATTCCTACAATAAAGGAATTACCCTGTATACGTACGGTATATAAGTGTGGGAGGTGTAAGATCCCTATTTATAGGAAGAATAAGTAGTGCTAGTAAGACTATATTGATTAGAATATTTACTTTAAGAAGGATATATTAGATTAGTCTTAATTCTTATAACCCACACCTCCAAAACCCACCCCACCCCCCGACCCCACTCCCTATTTTTACGGTAGCAGGTCTGAACGTGTTTTACGCTTTTTAGCCATCAGCTGCAGAAGAATAACCAAGCATTATTATCCATTAAAAATCCAACAAAATTAAGACAAATGAAAAGGAGTACTTTTTATATAGAGCTCTTTATTCCGGTTCTAATAGTAGTCTCAGTTTTCTTCTACAATTAATATTCATTGAGATACAAGGCTTTGAACTTTGAAGCTTTTACCCCCTCAAAGCTACATTACTTCAACAGGTAATCCGTGCTTTATAAAAGTAGTATCATTAGAACCGCCTTATCAGGGCCATTATCTACGTATAAATAGTTTATTCATTATATTAAAAATAACGCTAAAAATAAAATGAATCTAAAAGTAGAAAAATAGAATACTACCCCCTCGAGGTTGCATTACTTCAACGGGTAGGCCAAGCGCTATGAAAATAATACCATTAAAATCGTCTCGTTGAAGCCATCCTCAACATATGTTTTTTTTTATTATACGATCAATTCTAAGCTATAAAATAAGGAGTATCTAAAAGCTTTAAAGCAATTGCAGCCGACGAAGGTTTACCTTTAAGGTTGCATTACTATAACGGGTGGTCCGAGCTTTATAAAAATTATATATTTAGAAAAAGCTCGAAAAGACCATCCTCCAAGTACTATATTTTTATTTTTGCTATTTTTCTTTATTTTATTATAAAGAAATATATAAATCTAAAATCCGGAGTTTGTATAGGAGTTTCTGCAGCCGACGGCGTTTTTGCGCAAAATAGTAACAGACCTCCTCTTACAAAAGTTCGAGGAGGGGAGACCCACATAATTGTAGGGCGGGTCCGCTGAAGGTTGTCGTCGGGGGTTAGACGTGCTGACTCCAACCCCGGTCACCCCCCACCCTCGGTCATGTAACTTCATCACTAGGAATCAGATAACATTGTAAACTGGCCACTTTTGTAGAGATTTCAACGCTTCAAAATGTTATGATCTTATTCCTAATGTTCCTTAATAATATAGAGTATTGGCTGGAGGGCTCTCCCTAACTCTTACAGCGGTCTCGTCGTCATCGTTACCGTAGTAACCCTCCTTCGCTTAGGACCCTCCTTTAAGGCATCACAAGCTTCAATTATCTCCTCTACCCGTACAAATTTATCGTCGCCCGTTTCTTTAACCTTCCTTTTACCCCTAGGCTTTATTAATTCTAACTAGGTTTATAAATACTAAATTTAGTAATCCTTAGTAGCGAGTTTAGCGTTTTTATTATTAAGTACTTTGGCTACTTTAGTGTAGATAGTCCTAATATTATGATTAATAGCAGTTAACTTATTGTAAATACTGCCTAGTATATCCTTCGACTTTTGGGGAGTCTTAAAAACCCGGTTAGCTTTAGATATTTCGTTTCTAGGTAGCGTTTTAGGTAGTAATAGCTAGGCCGGCAAGGTATTGTTATGAATAATTGCCTCGGGGTTGTTAAGAATAATAAATCTATTTATTAATTATATACTAATTTTTCTAAACCCTAATTTAAAATTTCTAGTGCTTACTCCCCGTCGTAAAGCTTCCTAATAACACTGGAGAAACCGTTGTTTATTTATTGATGTAGATATTAGAAAACTGGCGAAATCCCTAGTCAGATTTTTAAAGTATAATTTTATTGCTGAAAAGACTAAATGGTCGAGTGGCTGGGTCTTATAAGAAGTATAGGAAGGTAAAAAGAGTAGTTAAACTTTGTATTGAAAAGCCTCAATAAGGAAACCGTTGGTTATATAGCTAATGTGCTCATCGAGGACTAAAAGACGCTAAGTATCATTAGTTAACTTCGTTTTTAATAGATAAACCTCTTTCAATTACTATAAAGTAATCTCTAAATTGCTCTATCTATTAGGGGTACTATTATACTTCCAACGCTTGAGTTCGTAGTCTATTTTAGGGAACTATTATCCCTAGAGGTTAATACTAGAAAAGATAATAACGGGGGTTAACCTCTTACCTTTAGCGGTCCTATATTCGATAATAGTTACCTAAATCATTGCGTCAATCGTTATTAGGTATACCTTCTTTATTAGGGCAGTCCTAAGCACCTTACTATCCTTTGATTCCAGCTCTTGAAGACTATATTCATCCATATTCGAAATATTAGCGGAGATAATACCCTTATTGTAAATTTAGGCTTCTAGAAGGTCGAAGAACTTTGTAAAGGCTTCTTAGGTAGACCCTCTAACTCTGGCTGACTCGAACGGCTTGGAAAGTTTGGTTTTGATATCGGGGTTGCACTTTAGGAACCGATCGATCCAACGGGCGCCCAGCTTGTCATTGTCACCTCCTCTTTTCAATATCGATATTACAATCCCTAATACTTAACGACGGTTGGGAGCCCGGCCAGCCGTCTCCTCGTTCAATATCCATTTGCACAAGAAGGATTCTTAGGTTGGGGATAGTCTTTATTATAGTATTTTAACTTCGCAAAGGGAGGGGACGCCTCGAACGCGGTCGGATATGGTAGACTGCGGTACGCCGTATTTCTTAGCTGCTGCACGCTGAGATAGTCCGTTACGTACGTTATCGAGTGCTTGATCGATCAGCGACTTCATCGCGACCAAAATGAATGAAATCGATAGCATTTTAGTAGAGTTGTTATTATTAAAAGAATGAGGGTATCTGGTTGCATGGGGAAATGGCGGTGTGGGGGATGCGACCGAGGGAGGGGGGTGACCGGGGTTGGGGTCAGAACGTATAATGTGATAGAGACTAATATCAGATGAGGATCTGTAAATGGCTTCAATTCTGTAGAAACAATCACAATTTTGGTCTGTCATTTCATTTTGGTGGTATCTGCTAAGTAACTCAATGTCACGAAATAGTGGATTTTGGTCTGGGAGAAGATCCGACTGGCTGCACACCCCTGTCGGGAAAAAAATGGCGCGTTTCACGCTTAAAGAGATGCCTACTGATTTTCTATCCTTCACCACAATTGCTTTGTCTCGTGTCCGATGTATATATTTTACCCAGTGCCACCAAGACGCCTACGAATGGCTAAAGGACTGCAAGCGAGGAAAACATTATCTTTTAGAGTTAAATCATGCCCAATAAAGTGTTCCTCGTGTCGATGTTGGTCATGACAATACGCCAAACAGACAGAAGGACCAACACAAAACCCCCCCATTAAACAAAACGAGGCTCAGTGAACATGACATGGCGACGACAGGAGAGGAGAAATATACATAATTATAGAAGAAGAAAACAAAACGAGGGGCCAAAAAGCACCGCCACTAAACCCAAACTTTATCCCTAAGTTCGTCCATGATCAGAGCTTGGGTTTGACTAGACAAAAACGGACCCAGGCCGGAACTCGGAGGGCAAGACACAGACAAGCAGGCAGACAGGCAGAGAACAACGGTAGACGCGTCACCAAGATTGATACTGCATCGACACCCTTCGACTCGATCTCCTCCCACCACCTGCTGCTACTGACGCCACTCCTCCAAATCCCAGACCTCCCAGTCCTTCTCCAAGTCCAACTCCAAGGTTCCTCAGTGTCAAATCCAATGATCCCAACCACACTGGCTGCACTTCGCACGCCATTGTTCCCAACAAACCGCCATTGCTTCTCCCATGGCGGCCGCCGTCGCCACCTGTGCCCGCCGCCAAACTCCTTTCCGCCATAGTAGCCAGACTCCCCGTGCTCCCGATTCGCTTTGGTGTTGATACTAGTTGTGACCCATCATTATTACCATCCTCGCTACCCCCAGCCCCGCTGCTATCACTCCCATCATACCCCCATCCCATCCCATTCAACCCATTACTGATTTTCCTTCTTAGACTTCCCCTTTTTCTAATCGACGGGCTTTCAACCCCGTTGTTCCAACTTGCACTGGCGCTTCTTCCCCTCGCGCCTGCTCTTAACGTATCCTTGATTCCATGAACTGCCATCCTGCTATACCCCAGTCCGAACGCGTTCTACCGCTCCGGAATGGGCGTCTTGGCCAGTCTTCCGCCCGCACTCACCCTCTTCTGCAGCCTTGCTTCCTTCTCCTTTGCCAGCTTACTATCGCCGAGATTAGCAGCGCCAGACCCGCCACCCGAAGCCGAAGAAAGCGCGCTAATGCCATCGTACGAAGAACCGTAGCTTGTTGTTACCGCCGAGGTCCCGATAGACTCGACGAGGGCGCGGCGGCCACGCTTGATTTCAAGATAAGTTTGTGCGGCGTGACTGAGGGGAAACATGGGCGGTGCGACGGGGATCTCGGCCCCGTTCTGGATCAGGAGTTCGGCGACAGGAAATGGGACCTGTTTATCGGGTCCCGTGGTCGAGGACCCAGGGGTGCCTGGAGAGGGAGAGGGGGTCATGGGGTTGGGTGAAGGAGGGGCTGGGTCGGCGGCGGCCAGGGCCAAATATACGGCGTGTGTACCCCTAGACTTGTCCGTTATATTGGGGTTGGCTTTGAGCGCGAGGGCGTAGATTACTTGTTGGATCTCGTTCTTCTTGATGGCTGCGAGGAGGGTCTCTTCGGCAGTTGGATACCGGGACAAGGTGGAGGATATTGGCTCGACGAATGCGCGGTCGACATACTTGGCCGTGATGAACCGAAGTCGTTGCTCCCGCGAAGCTTGTGGTACCAGCTTCTGTTGAGGGTCCAGGCGTGCCTCATATACCATGTTGGACACTCGATTTCCAACGAGCATCAAGAGCTCAATAATGTCCGGTGTAAACGATGTGGTGTCCAATGTGAGTGACCGGACTTTGCTGATATGCGTGCCAAGAGATCGGTGAATACCACTGCACTCGATGCAAACAATAATCGCCAGGTTGAGTGACACCCATTCGACCTTGTTGCTGGAGCCACAGTCTGCACACCACGAGTTGCCTTGGTCGTTCTCCCGTAGCATCTGGAGGAGCCGATCTGGGCTTTCGTCAAAGCTGGGTGCACGAGCTGTGCTAGGGCGAGCACCGACAGTCGTCCTCCTAGAAGGGATCGGGCTCAGATTCTGGTTGCTGTGGCCATGGAAATGGTGATGGTGGTGATTAATGGACGAGCTCTTGCCCGTCAATACTGAAGCGATGTCTCGCCTGTCAAAATCCGAGTGTCCTATAGATGATGGTGGCGGCTTCATATCCTTCAGGCCGCGCCCTTCCACCGCGCTTTGTAATGCGTTATTAATAGCCATAATCCAGCTATTCATATCTTCTTCCGATGTTGCTTGATATACGCGTTTGAACTGTGGTGTGATAACTTCAAAACAGAACCGACGCTCGGCGTTTCGAGCCTCTCGTACGGACGCCAAGCGCAGATCGATCGGATCCATGTGCAAGTCTAGTCTCTGCTTCCAATTACTGTATTCCGAAAGCTTGCCCTGGTCAAGCACAATCCAAAACCTGCAATTTTGTCAGTCCAGTCGTTCCACGAAATGTGGGGATAAGCAAACTACTCACTTGTGCCAGCCTTGTTTGTTGAGAGCTCGGGGATCAACATGCCCACCAGGCCGGTTAAGAGCCCACAAAAGTCCCTCTTTCCTTTGTGTCATGTTCTTGTCCGCCGCCAACTGGCTTGGATCCTTTTCTTCCAGGTCCCGAATACCCCGAAACTTTGTATTTTGTTGCGGGCTACCCAGGGGAGGTGGGAGCCCAATAAGACTCCCCGGCGACCTGGACAAATCGGTTTGTGGTGGTTGTGCTATTCCTGGTGTGATGGCCGACCGAAGCTGTGATCCTGTGCTGTCAGCGCGACCCAACTCAGACTCTCCATAGGACGCAGTTCCATTTTGGCCAGTTGAAGGACTAGGCCCGGACGATGTAGAAGGAGGCTCTGGCTCGGCATAAGCAAGGTTGCCCTTCTCCAACAGCCTTCTCTTCTCTTCTCTCTCCCGTCGTTGATACTGATACGTCTTGTCCGCCTCTTGAACTTCTGTTGACAGTGCCTCAAGCTGTGGAAGGAGCCCCTCAACCTTCTTGGCCGTGGTGAGAAAAGCCTTTGCTTGAGCGTCCGCGTACTTTGTGAGATGGGAGAGAATTTCCTGCTCTTTGCGGCCTCCAGAAAGATCCTGCATGAAGGAAGAATAGTCAAAGCGCTTAAGTTCGAAGTTTTTGCGTTTGGTTTGGTATTTCGAGTCGCTCTGTTTCGCCTTGACAGAGTCGTGTCGCTGTCCCAAGTAGCGACTGACATAGGCGTAAAAGTCTTTACTCTCCTCTTCAAAGTCACGCTTCTTGGCTTCAGCTTGCTTGATATCCAACTGGTATAGCTTATTCATAGGGTCGATTACGATCTTTTGAAGATTTTGGGTGTTTTGTCGCTCGAACCTCAAAATTTCCCAGGCAATCTTGTCGAAGTAATGTTCAATGGCGGGCTGGACGGCGTTGGCGTTTGTCGACGAGACGTCCCTCAAAGCTTCCATAAACTGTAAAAAGGCGTCGTTGGCTTCCGTTTGCGCGGCGTACACTTGCTCGGCCCGCTTGATAAGTCGCTTCATCTGCATTCTCATGTTACCCGTCTTTTGTTCCAGGGCCTTCATCGTGGCTCGGAAGACGGGCCCGTCGTCAGATACCGACACATCCTCGCCGGGTCTCGGACATGGCACATCGACCTTGATGGGCTCTCTAACGGTTTGCGGCGGCTGGGGCGATTGAAGACCGGGCGGGAGAAGGCTAGGACCTTGATCAATCATGGGTAGATTCGGAGATGCCAAGAAGATTTCATCCTGCTCCAATGTGCTGTCGATTCCAGGGCCCAAAGTCTGCACTGAGACCGCTCTGCCTTTCGGGGGAACGCTGAGAAGGGGAGGCGAGGGCGAACTAGGCTGACTAAGCCATGGCGAGTAACCTTGAGATTCGTTAATTCTTGTAAGCAGGGAAAAAAAAGGGGGGGGTTATAGGGGGTTGAGGCAGGCACGTACTGCTCGTTACAAAGAAGGAAAAGCTAGCGAGGGTGTGCAGTTTGTGCGCACGAGGATCGTATTCGACGAACTAAGCAGAGTTTCAGCAGTTGTCCAGAGAGCACCACCAATGGGGGAAACACAAACGCTGCAGAAGTTTCTCCAGCCGCCACCCTTGTCTTCTGTGGGCTTGGGGGGCTTCCATTTCCACGTCCACTCAAACGATACCGAGGGGCTGCCGTCTGTCGCATAAACACCGACTAGCTCGACGTTTGCGTTCTTGTGAAGATTCGGGTCGGCCTCGAACTCGCGTGTAAGGAGGTTCTCAACCTCGCGGGGGGTGGAGCCGTAGACAAAGGTCAGACCATTGATTTGTGTATCGGTCAGACCGAGGGTCTCGAGGGCGCCGGCAGCATTCTGAACCACCTGATGTATTTGGCGTACGACGAAGGTAAAGGTAAAGACGAGCTCGTCATCGTTTGTGAGCTTGAGTAAGAAGGCCGGAGGGCAACCTGGACCGGTGGACTCGGTATCCTGGTCTTCCTGTCAGCTTGGAGAAGGGTCGAGATTGGAAGGCCACACGCTTGGGGAGGCATTGCGCACCTGAACAAACTCTATCGGGGTGTTGTCGCCTAAGGAGCGAGATACTGATGCTCGTGTAGCTGGGAATGCATTGGGAACAATGTTGATCGAGGTGCGCTTTCGCGGACTAGAGATGACGAGAGAAGAGATGGATACTGTCAGACACAAGGAGGGCAGGTCAGCGCTAAGTCAACAACTGCAGAAGCAGATCCAGCGCAATCCTCGGGTTCAATCTCGGTGAATCGTGAGACTGTGTGTCAGCCAGCATGGCCGGGGCGCGAGGGGTCGGACGGCGGGCGGGACAGCCACGAGGCCAGCCAGCCGGGACACATGCAGGGACGGGCGCGTCTCTCACAACGGGCGAAGGAAGGGATTCCACCAAAGTTCTTCCCATTCGTGTGTCGAAATGGTGGTGGTTTTGGTTGGCGCAAGCAGACAGAGGACGACTGGATATGGACATGACAAGACGAGAGAGGAGGTGAAGGAAACCAAACATACATCGATTCTGGTCTCTAAGATAGACGGGTGTGCCCTCGTCGGGCGTGCTGCTGACCTGACCCATCTCGACAGCGCGATAGTGCAGAGTGCGGCAGCAAGATGCAAAACATCCAGATTGGGGGAGGGGGGGGGGGG